TAGCTTTACCTCAGTGCACGTTCCAAAGAGATTCACAGGCTTTACTCTCATATAAAAATAATTTAGAAAAAGAGGGTGATGGAGGCCGTATTACAAAGAGAACAGTTCAGTCTCATTTGACAGGCAGTAACCATGGGTCAGACTGTACAATTGATTTTTCAGAACACTTCTTTGATTTCTATAGGGAATTTAGCTTAAAAATTGATGAGACAATATGTCCTTATTAAAGCAACCATTTTAGGGAAAAAAAAACTCTCACCTGTTTAGATTTAACTCTTGTTCCCACTGAAGACTGACTAAACCATCCATTATAGTAGAACAACATCCCTTCAAGCCCTAATTTTTAGGAATTCTTAGCTACAAAATCTAGTTTGCAGAATAGAATAAATACAACTGTCTACAAATAAAGTTTGTCAAGAGCTTGTAAGATTGGAACCCAGATTGTTGGCTGGGTTTTTAGTGTCGCTTTTCTCTACCTGCCTCCTTAGAGCCACAAGGAGTAGGTTAAGTGTAACAGAAACAAAGCACACACAGAGATGCAGAACTGGTTAGGACACTAATTCCTAACAGGGAAAAGACCCAAATTTTGCAACACCTTGATGTCCAGGTGTTATGGGGTGTGATCTGAGCAGGATCCCAGCCCAGGACATGGGGCAGTGTTCCCCATTCCTGGGCAGGGGCACACATCCAGCAATCCAAGGAGGCTGCAGCAGCTCCCAGCCTGCTCCTGTGCCAGAGCCCGGCTCCAAACCGGCCTGGTTCTGCCTGGAAATGACACAGCAAGGCTGTTTAAACAACACAAATGTTCCCTTGAGAAAGGGTTTAAAAGTTTTCACTGCAGTGAATCACAGAAGCAACTTATTGAAGAATTTCACACTAACTGGTTCTTCAGTTTAAAATCACAGCAAAGATCACTGCCCTTGCCTGCCTTTACCTATAACTGCCTGCAAAAGCAAGGTGACATTTCCCCTTTAGATGTTGTCCAGGAGACTTTCTGAGTGCAGCACCAAGGCTGATGTCTAAGAGCAATTCTGTTTTGCAATTGTTGTACGTTGTTTATAACTGAACAGCATTTAAGTCTGCACTCAGTCCAAGTCCACCCTCTGTCCTCAGCTGGACACAAACATTACACACTTTTCTCCCATAAAGTCCAACAACAGAGATAAGGCAAGATACGAAACATACTGAAGTCATGAGGGTCAGAGAGTTGGAAAGTTAACAACATGATAGCCTCATGTGCAGCAAAATGTTCCAGATGCATAATGCCTTCTCTGGAGGAAAAGAAAATAAACCAAACACACCTACCCCATGTCTCAGACTTTTCAAACCAATTTGCAAATTCACAGAATGATTTTTTCATACCAAGAAAAAAAAAAAAAAAAGGGAGGGCAGGGATAAGATGATGGGGGACATAGACACACATTTTGGAAACACCTGGTATGACAACCACAGTTTACAGTCCAGGTGTTTAGGATCCTTCCCCAAAAAGCTGAATAATCTTGGTTTACAATTACCATCAACTAAATCGAGGCTCTTTGTACAAAGAACAGAAGGGATACAAGGGGTACTCCACTGCAATCCTCAAGGTTTCACTCAGACAGCAGTACTCAAGTTTCCCCATTTACTTTTCCAGCCCTGGTTTTCCACACATTTTTTTACACATGCTCAAAGCCAAGCATTTAATTTTATTCCAGATAAGAGGCGTTTTTCAGGGTTTCTGCCAGAATGGCAAAGTCAGCAGGATTTTGACAAAGTGCAGCAGGAATTTAAAGAGTAAAGGCAAAGTATCCCATCACCTGGAAAGTGCTGATAATGACAGCAACCAAGCTGGAGAACCACTTGGAGTATTTAATCAGGCTGTGGTACAGATTAATTTTATACTGTCTTTAAAGTGCTTTGAACATGAAAAGCATAACTTAATTGCTTTATCTTCAGCCTCATCACCACCACAATGCCTCATCCCACCTAACGGTGCAAGGCAGCTGGGGAACTTCTGGTGCTACACGGGGCTGTAACAGGGGAGAGCTGGTCCCAGAAGCACCCAAACCCCTGCATCTGCTTTCCAGCAAGTAACAAGTGATTACTGGGTAGATATTTGTAAAAACTTTCTACTCCTCATGCGCATCAGCCCAGCTGTGCAATTCATAATGCGTCCTAAAAGTTAAATCAGTACCTAATGAAAAAAAAAAAAATTACAAACTATTAACAGTAATAGTGATTGTCACTTTCTAAGCATCAGCATCTGTGACAACACCCAAGCAATTAATAGCTTCCCTTGGCTTTATGAGGTTTCATATAGAAACATGGTAACTCCTGGAGCAGTTTAGGTAGATTAGAGGACACTGTAATCCAAAGACTTTTTAACATCTCCCTTTGAAAACCACTTCTACTAAAAGAGTGTAAGAACAACACAGGGTAACTACTTTATTTATCCAGAATTACCAAATTTTTTATACCAAATTTGGACAACAGTACAAATACATAGCAAGTGGTATCTTCAGTCTTCAATTAACTCTTGAAAAAGCAGACTTCACTTAAAGGGATGACAGGAGAGAAAGATTCACACATTCTGCACATTCAATCATCAGGAAATGTGGTACAATTACACTGTACTTTAAAAAATGCATGATTTTTCTGCATTCAGGCTATCACCTCTGGCTTCCAACTACATACTCTAAGACAAAAGGATAGGAAAACTCAACTCAGTTCTGCAGTGCATCAAAATGCCTCAATACTCAAGAAAAGTATAGCACATAGAACAGCCAGGGCTATGCACCTTTCTGCACATGGAAGAAGTGAGCATTTTGCACTAGTAACCATCACACTCATATTACACCGAGAAATGGGCCTGCTGTTTTATTATGCTGTTTAAAAAGACATCCCTCAAGCTTTGGGGATTTTTTTTGCCTTTCTTTTTGGTGGGTGGGCATGGGGAGGTGTTGGTGATTATTTAGGGGAGAAGGACACCTTGTCTTAAGCATTGAATACAGAGAACTGCACAAAGAAAAGTAATATTCTGTCAGCAACACAGAAATTTGGGCATGAAAGCAAACATAGGGAAAGAGACTAGAACTGCCAGGGTACCCCCATAGACATCCTGTGCAAATACAAACCTGGCAAATGTTTGAACCACCACCTGTGGTAACAGAGAACACACCTGAAGAACCTCACAGTCTGGAACAACTCCTAGGCACACATTTAAACAACTAACATATCAATCAAAAAGTGTATATGTAAAAAATTGACATAAGAATGAGTCAGAGCTGACTTGCTTTCTTGCTTTTCTCAGACAAAAGAATCAGGTCACCTTCTCAATCCTTTTTATTTTCCTTTTTTTTTTTTTTTTTTTTTTGTTTGGCTTTTCCTCATAAAAACCAACACTTAAAAAAAAAAAAAAAAAAAAAAACCCACACAGCTACCATGGAAGATAATAAAGGGAATAGCACATTTTTCTTGGAGAAACAAGGTGCAGCAGTAGGAACACACTAGCTAGCACATGGGAGCCAGAGTAAAGAATTACAAAGTTCTGCAGTACTCTTGTCCTAAATGCTTTCAGGAATCCTCTTATTTTATAAATACTTCACGTAGGGATAACATAGGCCTTTATTAATTTATCCTCCTGTTGAAAGGACAGGATCCTACAGCAAAGCTCTGTGACATGAGACACTGTGAGAATGCACAGTAACTCAGAATTTCATTTGATTTCTATCCAAATAAATTGAATCAACCAGATTACAGAATAATTAAAATTCTCTAAATCAAAGAAAAATTCTGCAGCCTTTTCCCAGAATCTGCTTTGTGACTATCTTTAAAAAATGCTAGAGGATTTGCCACTGCAGTTTACATGCTTTTTAAAGTGGCTTATTTCATTAGCTGTCTTAGAGCTGAGGGACCACATGAGTGTGCACTTCGTCCTCTCTGGGCAACAGCCCCTCCAAAATTATTAATTTCACAAGGTTGGTAATTCAGCTGGAGTGTTAACCTCAAAATCCATGAGAGAGGCCTAAACATAAAAGACATAAGATCATTCTGCCTAGCAAAAGCTCCAAGGTTTTCCATGCCTGGGAAGTCTTCCATTTCAAAATACAGGAACTTTTCAGTGGGATATCAGCAAGGTGGTTTGGCACTGGTGAAGCAATAGAACCCTTGAAGGCTCACCACCAGCTTTTACATATAGTGTTCTGCACATAAATTGAGAGAGACTTCAATGGAAATGTTTGCATTTCAACACAAGTCTCCTTGGTGAGTGATCTAGCTTGTCTCTAAGATCAAAGAAACGTGCATTAACATCTTCTGGCTTGCAGAGGAAAACACACACAGAACCCACCCATAACTCAGAGTGTAGTGAACTACAGAAAAGCAGCCAGGGAAAACAAGAGGAAACAGAATGGATAAACCAGATCATCCTCCAGAAACAGGACTAAATACGGATGCAGATTAGCCTGGCAAACTGAACATTTCTAGGAAGTGCTGATATGTCACTGTATTGCCAAAATTAGAAAAACTGTGTAGGAAGCAATTAGCTACTGTAGCTTCTCCCTACTTAAAATGATTGTTCAAGCCTATATTGTAATATGTGGTTGGTCACACCAATTCAGTATGTAAATGCTGGTATGAAAAATGCCATTTATTCAATCTCAACTTAAAAAAAATCAAATTGAGTCGAGAGAAATAACAGTTCTTTTCTTGACCATTCTCCATTTACACTTCAATTCTATTCCCAACACGCAGCTTTGCTGTGCACATTGTATGTGTGTCCTCCATAATTAAAGCTTTATTTGAACCTCCCCCCTCTTTCCACAACTCTCTCAGTTAGATCAAAACAGTAGAGACAAAAACTGAAACATGCCTGGGGTGCAGGAGAGAACAACACAGACTATTTAGTGAAGTAGGCTAATGGTGTTGTGGAGGAAGGGGGCTGATTTTCAAATCTCAGAACTGTCAAGCCTGCAAATATTACTGAAATCACATCTGGGAACAAAGCTCTGCTTTAAGTAAGTTCACCCATGAGTGTTGCTAAGCAATGGAGAAAAGATGAGGGAAAGGGAGGGTGTCTGACTTTAGGATTAGGAGGATGGATAGAAGATAAAGTAAGGCTTCTGCATAGCTTTATTTAGAAAAACTTTCAAGTTCTTTGTTTTTATTGCCTGTCTTCCAAACTACTTGTACTCTGATTAATCAGGTCTCGTTCATTATCTATCCCAATGCACACCCAGCACAAAGAGAGGTGCTGCATCCTGGAGCACTGGCACAAGCATTTGAGCACCAGACCTGCCAACATCTGTCTCTGGATTTAACAGGTAAGAACAGGAGCAGCTTTCCTGATGCAAATACTACAGAATTTAATGTCTATGTTTTAGAGAAATACTGCAGATACTTGTTTTTATGTAACCTAAATTATGCAGTGTATAGGAAATAAAATACTTGTGGCAGCTAGTGCTTGCTCTAACACTATTCTTATGCTGGTAGGTACAGAAAAGTGAAGTATTTTATCTTACAAGATCAATAAATGTCATATCTTCACCTTACTTATGTTTTTTTGTCCACTCTCTACTGGCATCATGATATTGTAAAAGTTTCTTGTTCTGCTTTAGCAAGATTGCTTCCAATCCTTAGGAAAACAATCACACATTTTCAGCTGTAGACAAATGCATTGCCTCATATTATTTCCCAGAAAACATTTGTTGCCTTGTTCAGCTAAATGCCTCCATAAACTATAGCATGTACATTTGTAAAGCATGCATTGTTGTAACAGTAAATTGAATTCTTTGATTCATTTTCATGGTAGCAGTATTATTCTTTTGGTTTTTTTCCTTTTTAATCATCATAAATACTCCGGAATGCATATCTCTTTATTACTCAGCATTATATTCCATATGCTAAGGCATTTGCAGCCTCACAGGTCATTTCATAGGCATTAAACTTTTACTGTATACCTGTCTTTTTAACATTTGCTAATAACTCATCTGGAAAGAGAATGACATTTGTTGCTGAGTAACAGATGTCTGCACACACAGCATGAACTAGGAGCTCTGAAATGCTAGATTATGATTAACTACCTAGTCACTATTCTAGTTAGAAATATTATGAAGGCCTTTCCCAAAACTCAAGATATTCAAAACCTATCACTTCTGCAGCACTCCAGCAGTGCTCCCTGCACATGGGATGCATTTCCCTGACAGACAAATGGCATTTAACAGACTAAACAATAGAAATTAATTAAGAAGATTGAGTGTTGTAATCACACTTCATTTCATGCACCTTTAATGCTTTCAGAAGCAGAGACTCTGAACTAAACATTTTAAGCTCAAAGAAGCGTGGACACTGTAGAAAGGCAAATTAAGCCGCATGCTGAAACAATAACCCACAAGTTTTCCTCTGAAGTTGATAAATTAATTACCGAGATTGGGAAGTTTCCCATGCCTAATACATAAAATAGGTCACCTCTTGTACTATATTTTATTTACATACACAGTCAGAAGCAAATCTATGGGCAGTTGCTTTAGAGCTGAACAGGCACAGTCATACCATTTGTCATCCTCCAAGAACTCATCCAGGCAGTCCAAAACAAAGTTATCAAGTGAAAATATAGACCAGGATGGAAGAAAGATGCTTTGGATAAATTTCATATAGCAAACCTCTTGAAATGGATGCCATGTAGAAAATGCACTGAGATCCATCATGTTGCATTGCCTAATTGACTTTTTTCCCTTTTGCTTTTTCTTAATGAAAAGCAAGGAATGAGAGAAGAAGAAATCTTCCCTATCAGCAGCAGCAGGGGTTGCTGCAGCAAGATGATAATTCCCTCCTGCTACTCTGCTGACAAGCACCAAGCTGCACAGGAAGAGTGGAGCATTTTAATCACGGGATTGAAAAATGCAGCAGTTCCTAAAGCTTCACCTTACCTTGGCTGATTTACATTAATTTAGGATCAACCGGCTTTCAGTGGAATAATGTTATCTATGGAAGATAACAGAGGAGGAAAAATTTGGTGGAACTTCTTGTTTCCCTGTGCATAATGTGCAAGGATCTATGTATATAAACAGTTTTGGAGTGTCTTAGATAAGCAAGGACTATTGGATTCCTTAAAAGAACAGTGCAAACTTGAGAGCTCCTTAATACAAAATGTTTTCTAAGTGCCACACTTTCAAATACACACCATTGAAAGGATAAAAAATACATTAGCAACTGGCAAGTCCAATCCAGTGTCCATTGGAACCATCAAAAACCCTGTCACAGAGGCCTCAAGATTTTGGCTCTGGCTCTTTCATCTTTCAGATTATCATTTGTAACAAAGGCACTCCATAAGGAGCTGCTAAGACAAATGCAAATCTTGTGTCAAAGACAGTCAAACACCCCCCAAAATTAAAAATTTGAGCACACAGCAGCTTACAGGCAGCAGCTTTGGGCATGTGGCTCAACATCTGCTACAAAAACACTAGAAAGCAGACCTGCGGCACACTGGAGCGGTGCCAGCTCTCAGATTATCCCCCTCCAAGGCTGTCAGGAGAATGGACAGATGGCAGCCGATGCACTCGCAGGACAGTTAGCTCAGTTAACAATCAAGTATGCTAAATGATTTCAGATTCACTCTGCACCAAGCATTGTACTTTCCAGTGAACCATTAACACTGTGTCCTAATAGAAATATGGTTTGGTATGAAGGAACTGGCAGATCCTGTATTTTACAAGACAGTTTCTCTGGAACAATTTGTCAGGGAACATTAGATCTGCCTTCATGAATAAAGTGAGAATCTGCCAAGTTTGCCAGGCGGGTTTATTCATAATTTTAATTCTGCAGTGTTTGAAGAGTGAGGATGGAAACAAACAGGAAGATGCAGGTCAGTTACCCACACAAGCTGCTCCCAGGGATGCACACAGTGGCAGGCAGGAGGGGTGTTAGGAGCACAGAGGATCTCACATCACAGCAGCTGTGCCCCTGCAGTGCTGCCTGCCTGCTGTAGGGCATCACACAGCTCTCCTGGACAGCACAGCTATCACAAGCAGCCTGCTGGGTGACACACTTGTCACCCAAGTGAACAGATGTGACAACTCATCCCAGAAAGGCTAATGGTTCTTGGGTTTAAATGGGTAAAGTCCGTAAAAAAAATTTGGCCCTCATATATCAAGAGGGTAAATATTTCAGCACACAACAGACAGGTGGACTTTTGGCCTCAGCAGCACAAGATACATCTTTAAATTCTTCCCCCTTATGGTTAGATACAATTGCCTTTAAGGACGGTTGTAGACTTTGTGACAAATTTATTCTACTGATTTACTTTTCCATAAATCAGCAGGGCAAGAATAGTCGTTGAAAAAAAATGTTTGTTTCTTCTCCCACCTCTACCCTCTCCTCCTGTTGCATATCACTTTCATCTGTCCACCCAAAATCCTATGTGGGTAAACAGCTGGTCAAAAGTATAATAGAATTTATTTATTACATATTTGGTTCCCATGACCATTTTATTCATCATTGTGGCACCTAACAAACACCCTGAGAAAATACCCAACCACCAGCCCTTTTCTGCCTGAATTGGAAAAATCCTTCAGAAAGCAGGGGAGAAACCCAAGAAAAACAAGTGGAAAAATAGAAGGACAGGGAAGAGAGAGAACTTAGCTCTGTTAAAGGAGGTAGGAGTTGTGCCATGGATACCAGAAAAGCAGCACCTCACACTTCTTATCTGTTATCTCAGTTCCAAAGAGTAGGACTGAAGCAAACTGGAAAACCTAAAGCATTTCCAGTGAACAAATGAGTTCTCCACACAGTCAGGTAAGTGCCAGCTGGAGAGCAGCTGTGGGAATCCAGGGCATCCCTCTGGCTGCCCTGGCAGGTCTGGGACCCTGGCAGGGGTCAGGAACCCCCCTGGACAGAGCCCCCAGAGACACTGTCTGTGATCTCTGTCCATGGAAAAGAGTTTTCAATCTTACAGGATGAATTACAAGCTCTGAGTGTTTGATATGAGTAATAATTAAGTGTGGCACGGGTGCAAAAGTAAAATTTTAGGTTTTTAGATAAGGGGTTCAAAGGGAACAAGATGGAGGAAATTGGGTGTGTCTTGTCCTTTTCCTCCTTCTTCATGCCCTCCATGTTTCACTGTAGTGTTGGCATTTTTCTATTGGTTTAGGCTGGGGACACACTGTCCAACGTAGGTGACAGATATTGGCACGTTATTGTAAATTCTGCTGTGACACCGGTTTTCTTCAGAGATTTTCACAGGGCATTGCCAAAGTTATACCAGGAAAATCAGCAACAGCAGGCAAAAACTCCTCTTCCCTGCTCTTCCCATTCCAGTGTGGAAAGGAGCCACAAAAATACCAGAGCAGGAGCAAGAACTCTGCCAGTGCATCGAGCTCCTCAGCTGCCCTCCCTGCAGCTTTCCTCTCTCTTGAGGAGGTGATGTTGTGACCCTGGTGTGTGATCACCAGAGCAGGGAGTCAGAGATGCAATTTAAAAAAATAAAGAGCAAACCAGTCAAAAATGGAGACACAAGCAATCTTATTTTCTGACTCAACTTTATGAAGATCTGATTAGACCTTAGTGAAATTTAATCTTTGCCTTCCAGATCTTCTGAGACAACAATAAAGAGCTCCTGAGCTCATAAAGTACCCAGAGAGGAGAGATACCACCCAACCAGGAAAATAGCTGAGAAAAATTATTTTTCTTGGTACTAATCACCAGGTAAATCTGCAAAACATGTCATTAAAAAGTAAATTATGAAAAGCTACACATCACTATTTTCAAATACAAGAATACACTTTATCAGACAAAGCAATAAAATAATATGAAAAAGACAAGACAAATTAGCTACAGCAATAATTAGGAATGCCAGACATTCAGAAGAGAGTATTTGTTCAAATTGCTAAGATAGTCAAGAGACAGAAAATTTAACTCCCAGAAGTCCCACAGTGCTACCATTTCTTTTTCCTTTTTTTCTACTATAAATTTACAGCAAAACCAAATCAACCTACCAGATATATTTTTATATTATTAGTTCTTCCCCAGAACAATTCTGCTTCAAAAACACTCATTAAGCTGGAACTGGCAAAACCCAAAGTTCCAGTCTTTTATTCTCAGCCAGAGGATCCACATTTCTCCATGTCCTTGTAGCAGCTGTTCCTACATTGCCTCATAAGACAAAGAAATAAGGGATTTTTTTTTACTTTCCTCAAAACATTTTTATTTTCATGGACAGAGAATACCTCACAAGAGGCCACACTAAATATTGCCTCCTGGATGTGCTCAGCACAGACCTACAGAGAGCTGTCACTGCAGGAAATGCTGGTTTTTGGGTGTCATGCCCCTCTGCCAGCTCAGCCGTGGCAATGGCACCAAAAGAAGCCTTTCTGCTCATTCAGCATCTGGGGTGGAATATTTGCCAAGGGTTTGATCTTGGCCCCTTGGTTTGTGCCTACATTGCCCAGGATTCCCAGGGGGTCTCATAGCCAAACCTTTCCTACTTTGGGTTTGCTGAGCCCACCACAAGCCATGGCACAGTGTAAAACCAGCAAATCCTACAACTCTGATGTTTTTTGGATTCTTCCAGTGCTCTGCTTACAGTCCAACAAGATCAGATTTTGCAGCTTGCAGGAAAGAAAGCAATTCTTACCAAAGTACAGCAATCTGGGAAATTAAAGCAGAAAAGGAGAAACCAGATATGAATGGATGGTAAAACTGTATTTCCAATCTTCTCCTCTAATAATGTAGTACAGCAGCCATCTCCAATGAACTCATCATACCAAACAAAGTGATATATGCAGGAAATATTAAATATTAAAGAAACAAACAGATGCTAAAAAAATTCTAAACTATGGATGTGCAGAGTCAAAATAATTGAGGACGATGTGCATGTACTAAGTAGAGTTAAAAACTAGAGATGGTAGATATATATATATGTATATATATATAATGCATGTGTATATATATATCAATCATCTAGGAACTCAATTTAATTTTTGCATGCACTGATTCTCCCATGTCCTTATTGTTGCTTATAGAATCCTTCACTTACTAATTCCATGTCTCATACAGCCATGCAAGAAAAACCTGGTTATATTGTATATAGTTACCCAGCAGAACGTCTGTGGAATAAAGTTTGCTGATTAAAATCCTATTTTAATCATGCAATTAAAAAATCTACAGTAATACTGCAATTACAATACTTTTAAAATGCATCTGTGCAGAAAGCTAGAAGACTGGAATGAATATGGTATTCTGATCTCTCACTGTACAAATGTACAATAATTCTCAGTCTGTTCTTGCCTGGGCAAGTTCAGAGTGTGTGCAACATTCAAGATTAATTAGAAGGAACACGTGTTCCTCATGAATGATGCTATGTCTAGTACTATATGTAAATTAACTCATGTCAGCATGGGCCATGTTGTGTCATGATTTTTTCCTTTTTTGGGAGAGGATGTACAATTTTTTGACTGTAAGTACTATGTTGACTTTACAATAGCTGTAGAGAGATTTCATAAAAATAAAACATTGGGCAATATGTAAGTTCGTTCTCTGCTAGGTTTTTTGGGGTTTTTTGTTTGATCTTTGCCAACTAACTGGGATAAGAGAATTCATAAGGTATGAATACATTATATTCTGTTTGGGCACCTCAAACATGAACAGAGTGGTTATCACAAAGGCTCCTCAGCAGCCACCTCTTCCCAGCTTATCGCCTTGAGGAAACGGCGCTGCCTCCAACACCAAACACAAAATAACATCACATTACACATGCAAAATCCAAGGTCTCAGCTTTAACTGTCCTTTGATCTTCCATAACTGAAGGAAGTGTAAACCAAGATCAAGTTTATTAACTACAGATCAAAGTGCAGCCTAGTTTTTCCCCTTCCAACAGCAATTAAAGACTGGAGGTAAATTTCTAGAGAAAATTATTTTGAGATCTATATAGGTTATTTTTGCAATCATTGAATATGCCATTCCAATTTAAAAACACAACTTCGGGATACTACAACCCATATTTCTCCCAGCTCTTACTTGGAGATTCCTGTTCCTCCTCTGGCATTGGGGTGTTTATTAATTGGGAGAGTAGACACGTAGCACCATGTTAAGAGCTAACAGAACTACTGCAGTAATACAGTAAAAACTTAGAGGTTCAATGATTTTAAAATGCATTTTCTCCTCAAAATGCATTCTTCCAACTGATTCAGCTGTACTGGGAGATTGGTGGTACAGGTTATTTGAAAACTCATTGCGTATAAAAAACCAAATTTCCAGCCTTGGAAATTGCCTTCTGTTCCCAGTATCATGTGAATTCATCACTTAAGTGCATAGCAAAACAAAAAGCTATACTGCACTTGGATTTCACTTTTAGGAGCAGTTTAGTCACCTTTTATAACTCAAGAATTGCAATTCTTTACCATAGCAGCAGCTTCAAAAACATTATAGTGTCTAATCTTTTTGAAACTTAATTGTAGCATGCTCCTAATATGGCCTTTAAAATAAAACATAATCTAAGTATCATAAAAACCTTGCAGCTTCTTACACAATTAAATTCTTTGAATGAAATGACTTGCAGTTTTGCAAGTCAAAGCAGCAGATGTATATGCTAAAGCACAATTCAGAGTAAGCAGATGCCATTAATGATTGAGACTTATGACTAAACTTTTTTCCCAAATATAAAGCAATATGAAACCAAGATATCTGTGAATTACATGCTTTTTGAGGGTATTCATACAGATACATCAGTCTTGAAACAGGACAAATGTTTTCATTGCAAGTTTGATCATTCCCACAGCAGTCAGCAGGAGGTTTGGGGTACAGTTTGGGGTACAGGTGTCAGGAGCATAAGACTGGTTCTTGTAAAGCATCACCACCCTCAGCTTCCACCATGCTAAGTCAGCCCACCTAAAACAACATGTCCTAAAGTAGGTTTTATTTCTTAAAATACCAGTTGAGAGACAAGTGATAACAGCTAAAACTCAGACTACCTTCTTTATTAAAAATAACACAGCCCTGTCTCTTCAAATTAACACTTTCACCCCCTCCTCTTTAGCTCATCTCCTGTACCCTCTGTTACATTCCAGTGCCACCAGACCCTCACATCAGTGGCCGGATTGCATCCAGGGTTCATCATCTTACAGCTGGTTTCAAAACCACAAGGTAAATGAGCATTTACCCTTACAGATGCCCAGCAATCATTCCCATACCGTATTCCGCTCTCTCCTTATATTGGCAAGTACTGCTCAGTATAAAGAGTTGGGTTTTTTTTTTAAAAAAACCTTCCACAGCTACAGCCAATACTGACACGTTTCCTTATATTCCCAAATTAGTTGCATAATGCTGCTGCCCTTTTGTAAAGATAGATCACACTGGCACTTCAGAAATGGCTGCAGTTTCCAAGTGATGACAGAATTTCACATCCCCGCCCTATTCCCACCGAGTGCCAGGATCCTTCCCAACGCCTGCAGCAATGCTTTGAAGTAGGTGCAAATGCAGCAAATGCAAAAGATTAAAGGATTCTGGAGTTCATGGAAAGAGGTGCAGAGCTCACTATCACCAGAAAGATTCAACTAAACATTTTAAATTTTTATTTAAAGAATTTCATCATGAGAGGAGTTACACCATAGTACTTTTCCTCAGGATATATTTTACATAACTGTCTATGCTGCCTGTGACTAAATCCTTAGATGCATAGAAATGGACACATGTTCAGCCTTCCACCATCGTTCTGAGACAGTACAGATCTCACACACAGACAACAGCATACCAAGAGCTGAAAGGTTAAAAAATGTTCAAAATAGACAGCAATATTACCTCAACATTTTCTTTTTTAGGCAGCTTTCGCACAGAATGTTTAAAGGAGAAGTTTCACATTTAAAACATCCTCCTACAGTGGGAAGCGGCAATATTTCTGACAGACATTTTCATTTTTGTTTGGCATTTCACTTACTCAGTATCCTGTCAGTTTAGGAACTAGGAATCTGGGCTTTCAAAAATCAACTGATGACATGAGTCCCAGTCACTGTCTGTCCCTCCTAAGGTGGCTTACCAAGCATTATTTCTATTAAGGCAGGGGAGAGGAAAAGTGGGGTTGACGGTGATTTTTTTTATTAATCCTTCAAATCTCAACTGTTAGCCAAGTCAAAGTTGAATATTCAACAAATGTTTCCAAACTCAATCACTGTAACTGAATATCCTGGAGTGTGCCAGTAGCAAAACCCGCATACCCACAAGGTATCACCAGAGCTGTTCACAAAGACATTTTGCCATCAGCTTCCAGAAGATGCAGTATAACACAGGGTGCTGCAAATTTAGGTGGCTTTTAAAGTAATAAGCCATAAAAGACTCCCTAAAACTTTCTGATCAGTATACAAACAGTGGAAAATAAAGTCCATCAGCTACAGTGATATTTTATTTCTATTGTCGTCTAGAGATAAGTATGACAGATTTGGAAACAGAACTGGTATTAGATTAAAGGGCATAAATTGAGCAGAGAAGCAGAAGTGCCCTCTGTTTCTCTACTATTTCTATTCAATTCTGGGTCTGTCTGCCCAAACCTCATCCTCAAAGTTGAGCTGCAGCCTCTTCCTTTCCCAGATGGCATATCTTGCCTTCCCCAATCAGGGCCTCAACACCACATCCCTTTTCCTCTGTTCCTAACACCACAGGCCTATTCTCCCAGCCCACCACAAAATCTTTCACTCCCATCCATGCTCCCTCCTTGCCCTCTGCCCTGGCTGCAGATCCCAGCGCTGCCTGGGCCATGCAGAGCAAGCAGCAGCAGCATCTTGGCAGCACCCTGCAAGAGCTGAGCCACAGTAACCACAGCAAGAGGCTTTTCTATTCACTGAGCCCTTGGATCCACAGTTCCCACAGATCTGCATGGAAGGAGGTGAATTGTGCTGGAACTCTCCACCTTACAGCTGACCCAAATGAGCTCTAGTTAGGCTTCTGTTACTGATGCTCTTTCATTTTAGAATGGACACAAATTGTCTAAATACATTTAACAGAGGTTGAGTTTGGATTTTCTCCTAAGATCTGCATTGCTGAAATGAAGTGAAGCAGATCCAGTTTCTCATCCTGGATCTGTGATACACCCTAACAGATTTGTCCTATTTCTAATACTTGTCTCCCTCCACCATCCTAGACTGGACTGCAGAAACAATTTACACATGGGCATTACCAACCTCACTGTCATTGTATAAGACCTCTTCCTTTTTGATCTGTTTCCCATTGCTTTATTAAAATTTAAGGAAGCGAGGAAAACTGGGAAAAATGAGGAAATGAGGGAGTGCTAGTTACAGAGTTTGAGCACTTAGAATTGCTGTGAGGTAGAGAACACAGTATAACTAGCAGAAATATTTGTAAAGATAAGTTTAAAGGCCTAACACATAAACAGTACTCTGAGTTACAGTGCTTTATGCTTAACAGAGTCAGCATGAGAACCCTAAGGCTACAGTAAAGTTAATAAGCATGAACAACAGAATTGCCAACACCAGGACACAGTTTATATGTATCCTGTGCACATGCTTTTTCAAATGTAACTAATTTTTACTAAAGATAAATAGGAATACTAATGAATATCTTATTAGCCTGTGGCACTGGGTTGGCAAGGTACCACAAACAATGAGAAAGCACAACAAATTTAAGAACATATAAAAATATATTAGCAGTAATAGCAATTTTTAGCTTCTTGCTGTTTTGTCTTATATTTTCAGTGAGACCTAGTGAAGTCATTAGACTTATGCAATGATTTAATTTTCTTCACTTTTGTAGAGCAAGTCAGGCTTTTCTAAGAGGGTCAGTGTCAAGATACTGGTATTTGATCCATCTTCTTCCCCAGCTGGAAGCCCATTTGCTCTCTCCTAAGCCCTAGGGGTGGAACACTACCCTAAACTACTACATCCTCAGACCTCCTCTGGGTTTAGGAGCTAAAATTATCATTTTTCACCAATGCAGTCACACCTAAAGGCCCTAAGGAGTGAACAGCTAACATTGTTTAATCTAGTCTGCCCCCCACTCCTTCTCAACAGGTCCTTTAATAACCCAAAGGTGTGAAGAGATGAAAGCAATACAGCAAAAGCCAACAACTCAAAATACTAAATAACTCTATTCCCTGACTTGTGACTTCTAAGTTTCCTTGGCCAGTCCTCAAAGGTTCTTCCTGAGACCAGGAGGCTTTATCTGATGGAATTCAACATCAGTAACTTCAAAGTCATGCTCTGCAGGCATGGTGGGGAAATCAATCCAACTGTGATACACAGTTATTAGATCAGCTATTGCCACTCAGAAAAGAAACCCGTGAGCCTGCCCGTGGAAGTGTCAACTCTGTGTTCATCAACAAAGGAAAAAATGAGTCAGAGGAACAATCCTCCAAGGAAAAGAGAATGAAACCTAACACACCTTCGCGTGTCTGTCGCTACAAACTTGCATGGTGGAATTCGAGTTTTGTTCCACTTTTTTAAACTGTATTCTTTGCTTCTTACCCCAAAAGAACACTGGGGACAAGAACATTCTAGAAAAAGAATGACAATTATGGATAAAAA